TATCTTTATTATTATATAACTAGTTTGTTATTGTAACTTTTAATAATTATAAATCTAGCTTTTATTTAAGATTTTTATTACATATATTAATATGGTTTGTATAGTTAACTAACTAAATTTGTTAATATAATAAAATATTAAATATCTTTAATTTAGTTATATTTCATAGTTATTATTAAATTTATTAATTATAAAAGTTAAGTTATTTAATTCTAGACTTTTTACCTAATAAATTAAAAATATGATATTTAAAATTATATCGACTTTAATAGCTTTAATTTTAATATACTATTTATATTTTTAAACCGCTCGAACCTCTGAAATTTAATATTTCTCAAATAATAATAAAACGGTTATATTTTTGCTAAATAATAAATATATTTATAGAAACTAATTTGAAAAATAAAATATTCATTAAGTTAACCTTTACCTTTATACATAAAAAAACTCATAAATAATATAAAAAACTACACAGAATACAGGATGCAGGGTTTTATCCAGCCTAAGGCTTATGTAACCCGGCCACCGGATTACTCAACATCAACCTCAAGGTTATGGGCTAGGACAGCGGGTCTGTGACATATTTTGTACTTTAATAGCCTTTAAATATATAATTACCGTATATATTTACATTAACTAAGAGGTTAGAGGTAGGCAAAAAGAAAAAAGGTAAATAAGTTGAGGTACGAGTTGGGATAATCAGAGAATCGATTGTATTGATGATTATTCTATAATATGGTGGGAAAGTGTAGTCTATATATAATATAAATATCACATGTAATCACATGTAATCACATATGATGCTTAAGTCCGAGCATTAAGTTTATAGGAGCATATGTGCCTGTCGGCGCTTTAACATGTATATGTAAAGCGTATTTACGTTAGGGCTGTACGTGCGTACAAAGCGTTGTATCTCAGTAGATACGTACTTCAGTTGAGCCTCTTATTACCATATAACGTCTTAAGCACGTAACTCCTATGATACCTGTATTTATAAATTATAAATATAGTTATCATTAAAATTATGGAAAATCAATGAGTCTAGATATATTTATGAAACATCTGTAGCCTGTCACAGACCCGCTGTCCTAGCCCCCAACCTTGAGGTTGGTTTTGAGTAATCCGGTGGCCGGGTTACGTAAGCCTGAGGCTGGATAAAACCCTGCATCCTGCATTCTGTCGCGCATGTCCAAAAACGTAGCTCCTTGAGCTACGTCTTGTCAACAGAGCCTGTATCTGCTTAGGATAGAGCCTGCCCGTAGCAATAGATTGTCTGATCCGCCTGCCCAGCATCCACCTGCCAAACAACCTGCCTGCTACCGTGACATAGCCCTTATATTCATTAAGATATTAATATTTATTTCTTATATTATGGAGTACTAGCTTTAGAGTACTAATTAAGTATAAGTTTTAGAATTTTAGTAAATATTCTAAGTCTTAATAGTTACTACTAAAGCAGAGGCACTATAAGTAGAAAAGGGTAGTATTAATGCTAGAGGAGAGAATAATACTTAAAAGAAGGGTCGTACAGAAGGTACCAAACTATGCACGCAATAATATAATAATTATGGAAAGCCTAGATATAACGTACATGTTACGCCCGCCGCAACTTGTCACTGTGGGCGCGTAGCTATATAATGCAGAACAAGGGAAAATGATGCGGAGTCATCATTATCGAAGCTTTTGCTTTGTGCCACAGTTGGTTGCCTTGTCCTGCTCGTAACAGTACAAACTTATAAAGTAGTTTAGAATAGTAATAAAGAAGAGGGTAATATATAGTATCTTTTTACTCGATTTTATTTAGGTTAACATAAGCTATTTTTACTATACTTCATATGCCTATTGCTGCGTGCCATAACTCGTGACAATATCCTTCCATCACTCGCTCACCGGCGGTTTCTTGACCAAACAGATGGCATCTGTGCACACCTTCGGCTTTAGACCGAACGTGAAATGCGTTGTATACTCTCAGAGAAAGCGACACCGAGTTTTAGACCCGTGGAGCAAAACTGAGCCGGGCTCATGATATCAACAGTGACCGGGCAAGGCGATGTGGGCGACTACTACGCCTGGTTATGCTTAATCGCCCCAGACACAGAGACCCTGGAACCGAACAAGTCTGAAAGCGATTTGTCAATTTGCGGTGCGATCTCAGGCAGCGGTTCAGATGACTTGATCAATGGAGAAAGCTCGTGCAACGTTCGTCCACCGCGGCCATTTCTCGGGTAAGCTCGCTTGCGGCATGAGCCTCTTGCTGTCTCGCGGCTTCTGAGACGACGACTGGTGGTGATAACCTAGTTGCCGCTTCTATTTCTGGCCTCGCAACCCAATCGAGTCTTAGACAAGATCTCATTGGAGCCTTTGGTCGGCCTCATAGACTCCTTTGCTCAGACGTATTCGCTTTGCCCCTACTCTTCTCCATCTGGATTTCATTTCATCCTCGACTGTCGCTCGAACTAATGCTACGCTGATATGAAATTGCTTGAGAGCGTCTGCCACAAATTGCGAATGTCGCACTGCTAAGTTGACAGATTTCATCTTTTTGCCATCTAATTGCGATATTTGCCAGGGACTCGCAGGGAACGTTCAGGGTCACAAAGTTAGCTCTTCATATTTGGCTCTTGGCTCCCCTCCCACTCAGCGTTTGTTGAACGAATACGAGTACGTCATAAGAGACATCGCGAGAGAGAAACCAAAGCCCGTGTTGAATCCTGGCTGTCATCCTGAATTTTCAATGTAGAGTACCATCGCCTCGGATACCATACAGCCCCCCCCCCCAATCAAAATTTTCTCCATCCCACCTTTCCTCCATACAGAGTGTTTCCGTGGTGGCAGTCTTCGGAGGTCTCGGTCACGTTCTCGACACTCGTTGGTTCTTTCTTCACAGCTTCTAGGCGAACAGACACAAACTTTGAAATTCAAATTGGTGAAACGAACCCCTATAGTTTCAACCATCCCCACTTGCGGAGGAGCGTATACAAATCCCCAGGCGGTTCTCCGGTTTCAACTTTCATCCCGTTCAACTTCGGGACGACTGTCACTGGGCTGGAATACCGAAACCGGACCGGCTGGAGGAGCCGAGGCCGCAATGCGCCCGTTGCCAAGACGGTGACTGTTGCGTTGAATCTAATTTCAGGATAGTCTGGTCTGGTAAAGAAGGGGGATGGTATTTCATCTGTAAATGGCCGGTATGTAAGATGAGGGCATGAGAGAGCTCGGTTGGACGTTCAATGGAGACTTGAAATTGTTGTTAGACTCAAGCCGATGTTAATTCTCTCCCAAAACCAAAAAAAAAAACCCCGGCATGGCGGCCGTTGGTCGGTTTCTGTGACATGATCAGTCTTTGGGACGAATTATTCGCGGATTTCAGACTGGCATTACTTCTCGTCTTTGAATCTTTCACGGGGTCTACTGGCCCATTACCTGCGCCTTCGTCTGCGTACTGAACAGCTTTTCGGGGGCGTTCTATGCTAGGTAGCGCAGCTTAGACCTGTCCACTTGCTATCATGCTATCTCGACAGAAATCCAGGTGGCAAAACAGATATTGCGGCAAGCTCCCAACGAGGTTTTTGTTGATCTCGCTGCTAGGCTAGCTTCATTCTACCTGGCAACACGGATAATACATGATCAAATGGTGGTCAATAGCGAGAGAAGCCCTGATACATCATACTTTTGACGTTCCGGCCGTCCCGACCCTCGAGTTGTTCTTGGCATTTCTCTTGATATGTCCGATAGAGATGTTGTTATTTGCGGCTCCCTATATCGATTACAATGGCACTGTATGTTGAAACGCTGTTTATTGTCTCATTTAACTGTGAGATGAATCCTTCATCGTCCATCAGGCCAACCTCGTCACGCTCCAAGCCTGATTTGGCTAGCTAGGAGGGTGATTAGCGGCACACTTTTAGTCTAGCTGTTTAATCATATGTTAAATGCTTAGACTTAAAGTCACCGTGAAGATCGCGAATCATTATCAGCATCCTTTCTCTGGATACGACGGTGGTCAGCTTTTTGTCTGGCCCTTTATCCAGAGCCAACTAGCCAAGGCTACTGCTCTTGACAGATTGGAAGCTTTCATCATTGAAAAATAGGTTGGAGATTCACGGCACATATCTCAAGACTCGACCAACGACCTTCAAAATCATACAGACAAGTACGACCAGACTATTTCGCTATGCAGTACAACTAGTGGATTTGAAGATGAAGCTGGCGCCTAACGATCCTCAATATTCGAATTACCCTTCACTAATTGATATTTCCGGACGAAACGTGAAGTCACCGCAACTTGTAGATGCATGTTCATGAACACAAACAAGGATTTCGCGTGCTGTCAATGGTAGTGAAATAAGACGACATCTCGGGCTCGTATGGTTTCCGACTACTTGAGCCTTCTGATCCTTTTTTCTCTTATTAACTTAATTGGGGATTATCCATTGTGTATTACCAAATCTATTATCTGACATTCTAAGTCCGAGCTAATCATTTTTGTGCATTTGAATAAACAAGTTCGCATTACGTTTCTTCGAAGTGACGTTGGGTTTGATGCTGTTTATGTAACTACACCTAAGGGGGCGTTGCGGTGCCCGCAAGGGTGTGACCATCTCGGCAGAAGCCATCGAGCTAGGATCGAGAGGTTATTCGGGTTGAGCTCGGGTTGGATTACGTTTTAAAAAATGGTTATGTCTAATGGAAACCTCGAAAGTAGATCGTCTCGCTTGGTTAGGTAATGAGTATCCGCGTTCTCGCTTGGCGTGCCTCTTGGCCACTCCAGCTTTGTGAGCGATGCCACGATCCTTCGGACAATCCAGTAGTGAGAGCCATGCAAACTTCCAGTGGAACCTTAGCCCTTTGGATTTATAAGGTAGTATAAATCGCATGACAGATTCCAAGTTTCCTCATTGCGTCGGGGGAACTTCGCAGGGTCTATCGGATAACATTACCACCTCCAAGAGAGATTCGAAGCTCACGCAAGAGTTTACAGTCCTCCGATATCAACCAGGATGTACGCGTATGTCCACCCAGCCAGCCCTTGGCTGTCGGAGCACATCAAGTCATACATCCGAAAGCACGCACCGGAAACCAAGTTCATCGACGATTTCGATCATTTCCCAACAAACGCCACGACAGTCTTTCAGTTCTGTGATGGCTGGGCACTGAATCGTAACTTCGCAGCCTTGAACTCAGCAACCAAGGGCCTGATCAATGCCTACCCGAACAGCGACGCTTTGGCTCGAAAAGAATATCTTGCCAGAGTTGTGGAGTTGTGGACGGCCAAGAGACCAGAGAGCATTCTCAGAAGTCATGTGCCCGTCACCGTTCGCCTGTCTTTAGACTATGCTGAGTATGCTGAAGAGTCTTTGACTGCTGCAGACGACCTGTCACTTCTATATTCACTCGAGGCAAACGAAAGTAAGCCCCCAGCTGAACGAGACTGGTGGATTATGAAACCGGCGTTGGTCGACTGTGGCGCTGGCATCAGACTGTTCAGTACAGTAGATGAGCTTGCTAGTCATCTCGAGCTTGCAGAGGACGAGGTCGAGGAAGAGGATGATGGTATTCTGAATTACGACAGTCAACAATCTCTACCAGGCACCTTCCCATGTTCAAAGATCGGCGGTCCGGATGACTTCTCGCCAACACTGTCCACCCCAGGTCTAGACACTCTTGATGTGCTAGTCACCGCCACAGGAGCTTTGTCATTCAAGCCAACTTCAGATGATATCCAAAGATGTCCAAAGCCACAATACTTCTTCAAGGAAGGCGGACGTATTCCATCAGCGCAGATGCGCGAGTTCGTCGCTCAGCAATATGTTGTCTCTATTCCGCCGATGGAAAATAGGAAGTGGCACGCCCGAGCCTACGTTCTATCGATAGGCCGTCTCAAAGTCTACGTCTTCAAGGAGATGCTTGCCCTTCTTGCTGGAGAAGACTATAAACCGCCTTGGTTATACCCAAGCCTAAAGTCCTCTCTTACCAACACAGCCCTTCAAGACGAAGACGTATTTGTCAATAGAGAGTCAATGAGAGACTTTTGGGATGCTCCAGATGACTTGCTGCCTGGGGACTGGAAAGCTCATGTCTTTGATCAGGTCGGCACCGTTTCCGCAGAGCTATTTCAGGCCGCTGCACACACGATGGCGGACAAGTTCACAACAGTGGACAAATGCTTCGAATTATTCGCAGTGGACTTCCTCGTAGACTCAAACGGCACCGCGTGGCTGCTTGAAGTCAATGAAACACCTGCATTCTACAATGTTGGCATGGCAGGACCTTTGGCACTGCGCTTGATGGAATCTGTGATCTGTGTGGCTCTGGAACATATGGGTACGGCTCAACTCGAAGGTTGCGATCATATTGCTGCGAAAGAGGGTCTGATTCAAGTATTGGACGAGGCGGACAAGCTTGCCAAGAGCAACATAACGGAGATTTTGCCAGAAAATTGAATACAATTCGATTTCGACAGCGAGTAGAGACTCCCTTATTATTGAACATTTAATTCTTTGATTGAAGTTTCTGTCAGGCGTACTACCCAACTTGGACACTGAAACTGGGTCTTGGCAAAGTTTTCGTCCCTGATGCCTGCATTGAATCAGCTTCGTAATCGGCTAAGGCGACTGGGACCGGTCGAAGAACCTCTCTCGTGTGGAAAAAAGAATCTAGAAGAACTACCCCGCGTCAATCCTCTATCTAATCCTGGGGGTCTGTAACCCATGCTTTTATCGAGACGAGCGTTCCACTTCTCGAACCTTAAGGTCGTGACCCCGATCATGAGATTCGCATTCTGGATGCTAAGCGACTGGCTTCATGTTACGGAGCCATGCTGCGTAAAAGGTTGCCTCTTTCGGCCTGTATTGTGAGGTCCTTAGCTTAAAAGGGAGGTTCCATAGTATAAGAATGATCTTAAGGTGCAGTTAGAGTGGAGTTATCTCGAGATTGTGACAGGAGTCAAGTCGCCCAGTTGTGCTAGGAGCCGCCTGTCAAGTTTGAGACAACCGCGAAACTTGCCTGTCATCCCAACTGTGACAACATATGAGGTTCGCGCCGCATTCCATCGAATACATATAAAGACTTCACGTAGAACAGTCAAGTGAACGAAATGTCCTTGATATCAGTATCTCTCAACTACAAACTACGCTCGAGTGTTACCAATTGATTTCTAGGCTGGCCCAATCCTCTTGCCCTGCACTATTACTATTAACTCTACCATTGTGTCTATCTTTTCGACCATGAAATTCTCCTCCATCTCAGTCACTCTAATCACCATTTTCGGCCTTGCCGCGGCCTCGCCCCAGCGTGGCGGCAACCGACAACAACAAGCCGCGGATAAGAAGGCTCTCCAGGACCTCGCCGGGACAGATGTTGACCCTAATCTTGAGAACGGCACCAGACTTCTGTCAAATGGTCAAGGACAATGCGTTGCAGTTTCTGGGAGAGCGGTCTGTTCTGACTCTTCGGGAGCTACATTGTGAGTTGATTAGGGACATGTTGGTTTCTATTCCTATGATCCTAACAACTATAGTAGGAGGGGTAATTGAGTACGTTCTATCGTACGTTCTGGAAGAGAAGTGAGGGCAGGGCGATCTCTTACTTGGAATATAATCCTCCCTCTTCTCAATGACGACCCAACTATTTTGCTGCCGATTTCAGCCTACGCTCTCCCAAAACAGTGTGTACGTCTAAGGATGCGCTGGTAGCACTGGAGACGGCTGTGACGAGTGTTGCTGAAGTAAATCTGCTAGTGTTTAAGAGTTTTCGCTTCACTTAGTCGTGTTAAAGAGCCACGGGCTTGCTTGGGTTGAGCTTCGCTAAATAGCCGATGGTCATGGCTTAAGGTCGCGAAGTGGACAAACGTGCCCCTTTGCTCTGTATCTCCCATCCCTTTACACCGATTTCGGGAAGACCAGCTGTCTGGACGATGCACTGGGGGAAGACTAAATTGCCTCGGAGAAGCGCTTTTCGTTGCTGATTCCCATCGTGACTGAAGTCTCCCAGTAACGTTGACAAAGGTACCTAACTACTTTACGTAAGCAGACACTATAAGAAAGGCCATGCACTTGACAAAGAGACCACTGCAAGGAATGGAAGGTATCGGTTGATTGTGTAGTGTATTTGGCTAACCGTTGATGTTGAGCCTTAAACTCTACTAACATACAAGAAGCTACTCACTTGTTCGGGAAAAGGCAGCGACGCCATGCTTTTCGCACAGACACCCGCGCTCTAATTGATGATCGACAGACGTAAGGCAGATTATCAATGAATTTAAATGAGCATGATTGTGGCTCGGGATGTCTGCAAAGCCCAAGTTTCGAAATCCTGAACGCAGAATTTCCAAGAGAATCCGTGAAATAGCCCGCTCACTGTGAAACTAGCATGGTGTATCCGTACACCGAGCATCAATAGGTATTGATGTAAGGTGGACCAAGGTGAGTGCAGGTGAGGACAAGCGAGGCCCAGATGTGCCACTGACAGCGCAGGCAGCTAACCGCTAGCCGAAATCCTGGGGACCCCCCTGGCGCGCTAAGCGTTGCTGGGCTGGGCTGATCCCTCCACCGCCGTTTCCTCCCCACCATCAACACAACAAATGCGCTGCCAGCATTTGGAACCAATTCAATGCGACACGCGCCTGCGTAGACGACGTCCCCCCCTATACTCCCATCCGAAGGGAGACGAAAGACAAGATTCAACTTTGATTCTTCGAGACCATTGACTGAAAGAAAAATGTCGTCATGGCGACTCTGCCAGCCAATTCTCTGCTTGCACGGTCACGCCAGCCGCGACCGGGCCCGTCGACCAAGACCCTGAGCGCACCCATTCACGCCTCGATATCAACGAGTACCGCGCCTACCACCAATGTCTCCCTCTTTTTGACCAACCTGCGCTTGCTGGACTTTCCTTCGTTCCCAGACTGGCCAGAGTTCGATGCGCAGACTTTCTCTGTGCAGAAAAAGCGCATCCACTGCGTAGAATGGACCCTCTACCAGCTCTTTGTACTCTGGGACCCAGAAGAGGCGCGGAATGTATGTGCGAATAGCGTCTGTACTGGGCTCTGCTAATCTTTCGTGACTCATAGAAGCTTCAACCCTTCTTCCCACCTCGAGACCAAGTTCAATCCTTAAATTTGCGAGCCGCCCTCCTGCGAAGCCTCGACCAGGCCAAGAAGAATGGGGTCCTCGGACGAGATGCAGTGGTCCGCAAGACCATGCTAGACGAGTGCAAAGGGGAGCGATTGGAAGAAGTTCTTGCCGTCTTCTCATCCGCCGTTCTGAAAAAGATGGTGGCCGAAGTGACAGAAGCCGAGCACGAGTACCCAGCTATCGCCCAGCAAGTTGCGTTAGAAAACCGGGGTTACAGTGCCGAGCGAACGGAACTTGTGACCCTTGCGCTTGCTCACAGAGCCTCCATCACCAACGCCATGCTGCGGAAAGATGAGGCTAGGAGAAAGTATCACGAACTTGCTGGAGTGCTGAGCCAAAAAGAGGAAGGCATTGTACGGAGGAAGGAGGAAATCAAAGTCGCTCGAGTACTTTCAAGCACGCGAGACCTACCAGACCATCTGAAATCGGATACATGGAGGACAGTGCGGACGAACTGGGCCGGGAACGAGCAATGGATGGAGACTCTTCTCTACGGCGACTCCCACGCCCGGAAGGACGGCCTATTGTCGGCCCCGTTTGACAGAGTCTGGCGACGCTTGGAGTCTAGTCGACTTACCGAGTTGGAAAGCCACAATGCAGGCCTTTTGGAGCAATTAGATGGCCGTGTAAGGACACAGAGGGAGAGGCTTGCGAGATGGCAGGAATTCCGAATCGACATGTTTGGCGAACGGCGCAAAGCCAGTACGTCCAAAACGTCACAGCCTATGAAAACAAAACGTGGCATCGACCTCGGATTCGACACGCACGAGAGCTTGCATCTAGGAAAGACGAGCCCGAGAAAGCAGATTGCCAAGAAGAGCATCCCCTTGACAAGGAATTACTCTAACCTTTTGGACGACTGTATGGCAGAGTTGGCTGAAGTAGGCTCTTTGCCCGTGGTCAAGCTCACCGAGACGTTGGGCCCGCGGACTCGTCAACACGAGAAACCAGATGGGATCCTGGCTACGAGGGAGAGCCTCGGAGACGAGACCATTTCAGAACTCAGCGAATTAGAGGACGATCTGCACGGAACAAATCACTTGCCACGGCGTCCATCGCTGCAGGAGCCCCATCCCAGACGGCTCGAACGTCCCGCCATCAATCTTTCTTCCCGGACAAGCAGTTCTGACCTACCACCCCCGTTACCTAGCCCATTGCTACTGCCACCAGAGTCGCAGGATGAACTGGCTATACCTCCGCCGACCCCCCCTTTACCGGAAGAAGACGACATTACGGAGACACTACCTGACCGCATCGCAAGCCCACCTCTGGAGGAACAAGGGGAGGCGGAGGTTCCGTTCGGAAGGGAGGACAGCTCACCAGAACCGCCCAAATCTCCAACACAAGAGCTGGCAGACCAAATTTTGAAGGACATGGATGTTGCGTCCCCCTCGCCTGTCAAGCGCTCCAAACCACGTCATACCTTATCCCTTGCAGAGCGGACACGGATGTCGATGGCTCGATCTTCGCGGAGCGTCAGATACGATCCAGACGACGAGGAAGACGATACGCTGACCCTGAGGCCATCCTTCGCCAGTGCTAATCGCCGGACTGGAGAAGTTACGATTCACGTCACTGATGAGGATGACCTGGTTGCTCGCACACGGAAGAGCATGGTTGGGTTTGAGGCCGCCCACCAGAAAGCACAGTTGGACAGACAAAAGTCATTGAAGAAATCACGACCTCGAGCCCGAACCGAAAGCCATATCCCCGTGGTTGAGGAGACGACGGAGTTGGACCCTGATGCATCCATCCTTGCCGAGGAGCTGATGGCTGTTGAAGACATGGAGGCTGTGTTCCGCAGCCGGCCGAGGATCAAGACGAGCCCGGCCCCCTCACCATCCAGGAGACCGCTCGAGGAAACTCTGTAGATGCTCTATATACACTCTGCACCCTCGTAATGCAGAGTTAAAGACGCTACCTTAATAACAACCTAAGTTACGCATTGGGACACCAAAATCTTTGTGATTTCTACATATTGTACATTTTGTAGACACTATGTGCTACAGTCATCTTGTCACATGCTAGTGGTCGCTCCTACCAGCCTTGATTCTTGAGCTCCATAACTCTTTTCACTGTTGCCTTGAAGCCTTCCTTGAAACGAAACCTCCATCTCTCACTCTTCTGTCTCTTGCGCTTCTTTCCTGGACGCTCATGGAACCTCTGCATTTGGGAAAACTTCCTGGTCTTGTTCTTTTTGCAGTTGAAATCGAGAAGCTTAAGGGCCTTGGCTAAGTCCGTTTTGGTGGTAAGGTGAACCGTTCGACCAGTTTGTGGACGTGTGCGCAGGTCGGGCTCTTGCTTGCTTGTAGGGTAGTGCTTCTTGAGGAATTCATCGGATTCCATAGCGATGATTTTGGAAATATCGAATGTGTCAGAGGTGGCATCATATGCGTAGGGACTATCGGACTTCTCCTGAGAAGGGGCAGCCGCGTCGGCGGGCGGCGGCGGAGGTGGCGGTTGGGCGTAGTTTGTCGCGGCTGGCTTCGAGAACAGGCCTTCGAGGTTTGATCGTGATCCGGAGCGAGGGGGAGCGGAGAGAATCGAAGAGGTCGCAAAGGCGCGCTGATGAGTCCATAACGGCTGTCGGAACGCTTGTGCTGCATGCACAGAGGAATTGGGGATGGTGCAGGTGGTGAGCAGTCTCCTGCTCAGCAACCCGATTTCCGACGCCCTATGAGACTTTAATTAATCGAGATTCGACAGCCGTAAGAGGAGAGCCACTCACATTTCGATTGAGTTTCGCAGAGGCTAGGCGAGCACAATGCGGAGGAAATCGATCTGGCGCAGCTTTGTCGGTTGATCAATTTCACAATATTTCCTTCCAAAGCCCAGACCTGGCGAGTCGCTAAATCAATCGATTGGAAGCTTGCTCGGTGAAGGGTATCTCCGGGATGCCGATGGACCCACCATGGAATGTTGGCCAATCAAAGAGCTGTCGCGTTGCAAGGCTAATTCGCGTTGACCTCGCGCCGAATTTTGGAAAGGACTGGATCAGGCCCAGCGAGACTGGACCACAGAGATAGACCAAGAGCTTCAGTGTTCGACTTTGGAGCTCTCCGTCCCACCTACCGCCGTTCTCCCCGTCAGCCTCAGTCTCCTACACAGTTACTGTCGCCCTTGCCCTTCCTTCAATCTGAGCGGCGAGCTTCGACCGGGAGCATCATCGACAACTCTGTTTATTACTGGCTGCAATTCATCTCTGCGACCCGAGGCAGTGTCGCCAATTACAGGATTGTCGATCAGCGATTCCACGTCAACTTATTATCTACAACCCCGCAGAATCTCCCACCATGTCCTACAATCCTTACGGAGGTGCGTCAAGCTTCGACCCCCAAACATACTCTTTCTCACTCATCGCTGCAGCAGGTAACCCCTATGGGCCGCCTCCGACTTATGGTGGCTTCCCGGGGTCCAACGGCGCCCCCGGCATGGCTCCTCCACCTGGTCTAGGTTCGAAATTCAATGCTCTGATTTTGAGATGCCCTGCTAACACATTCTCAGGCCCTCCGCCAGGCATGTCTTCCGCTCCGGGAATGGCACCACCTCCCGGTGTCCAGCAGTCCAACAATGCCCAAGCTAACCGACAAAGCGGCCTGCCGCCTAACTTCCAAGCTCCCGCGAACCTCCCGAACATCAACTTCAGCGCCCCCGTCATTCGTCTTGGTACCATAGGTGGTAAGGCAGGCGGCCCCGACGGCGGCAGAAAGGACAGCAACGCTCCGACCGGCGGACGACAAGGATTGGGCATGGACCGCGGATACGATCAATCCCGCGCTGCCGCACGCGAGCACATGCAGTCCCTAGTCCCGCCGAGCAACGAGGAGAAGCTGAGGACACTGTTCGTTCATAAGATTCCCGAAGGTGTGAGAGGGGACGAGGGTCTTGAGTTGATTCTCAATTCGGTCGGCAAGCTTCGGAGATGGGACGTCGCTACTTCAGTTCTTTCTGACGGCAAAGGAACGATGTTTGGCTTCGCGCAGTTCGAGGATGCCGATTCCTTCGCAACCGCTTGCGATCTGCTTCAAGACATCGAGGTTCCCCTGAAACGACAAGCCCCATCCGAAAGTACACCATTGGAAGGTGACTCTTTCGACGGAGTAGAAATGGTCAAGCTTCAAGTTACTATCGATCCGAACTCCCTCAAGTACATCGAATCCTACAAGGAAGGCAGAGGTGATGATGGTGGTGCTGAATCCCGGATTAAGACTGCCAAGGACACCCTGAAGCAGGTCATCCGAGACCTCGTTTATCCCAAATCCGCCAGTACAGCCGACGGCGAAGGTGATGTCTCAATGGGTAACTCCGGAGAAAACGTCGAGGTTGTCAACATCCCTCTGGCTCAGGACGACGAACTTGCAGACATCCCTGCAGAGATGAGAGAAGTTGTCGCCGCTGAGATCGCAGCATTCAGAGAGCGCAGCAATAAGCGAGATCTGGAGCGCCTTAAACGCGAGGAAGAGATGGAAGAATTGGAACGAAACCGCAATGGCCCCTCTCGACCATCACGGCTGGATTCTCCGCCACCATCCAACTCCAACAATATCCCTGTTGGACCTCGCGGCATGCACAATGCACCGTCGGGTCCCAGAGGACAGAACGGTTCCCGTACGACGTCATTCGTAAACGGAGGAATCTCGAACGCCGAGCTGTCTACTAATCGCGAAGACGAAGATACGGAGGCTGATGATGAGGAGATCTACCAGCGGGAGCTCTCGAAGCAAAAATCGGAAGAAGAAAAGATGTACCTCGAGGCGGAGCGAAAGTGGGTGAACAGAGAACGTTCCCGTGCGGCAGCCTTGGAGAGAGAAAAGGAGCGTGAGCTGCAGGATGAGGAGACGCTGGAGAGACGAGTACAAGAGCAGCTTGAAAGGGAAAAGGCCTGGGACGACGAGAGAGAAGCGTCCAGAAAGAACCACTTGTACTACCGCGACCATGCAGGCTGGGTCAAGAAGCGCCAAATTGAAAGGGCGGATGAACAAGCCAGGGATGAGGCAGATCGGAGAGCCGAAGATGATGAGCGCCGGAGAGAGGCCGCAGACATGGAGAGGGCGCGTGGCATGGCCGACTCCTTCCTCGACCAACAAGCCCATGAGATGGAGCAGCGACAACAAGCAACCGCTTCCGCACCAGCGCCCTTTAAGCTATCTCTGGGTGCTGCAGCTCAGCGCGCACAAGCCCAACGCGTGGCGCCTCAACGACGGACCGTTGCTGAAGTGGAGGGTCTTCTAGACGACGAGGAACAAGACAGCACGACCAGGAGACAGCTCATCCCCATCCAGTTCGAGCCTACGACTGCGGCGGACAAGATGACCGAGGAGGAGATTAGCAAAGCCGTTCGTGCTCTTGCCCAGGAGATCCCATCGGAGAAGGATGGCCTGTGGAACTGGACTGTGCAATGGGACTTCTTGGACGATGCCATCATCCGCGACAAGCTTCGGCCATTTGTCGAGAAGAAGATTGTCGAGTATCTCGGCGTGCAGGAGGAGATGCTTGTCGAGGTCGTGGAGGAGCATCTTCGGAAGCACGGGAAGCCGTCGGAGCTGGTGGAAGAGCTTGCAGCGGTGCGTATACCAAGTCCCACCTTTTCCTTTGTTGGGTCGCTAACAATCACCACAGGCATTGGATGACGAGGCAGAGGATATGGTCAAAAAGTTATGGCGCATGGTCATCTTCTTCACGGAAAGTGAGAAGCGTGGATACCCAGCATAGTCTAGGCAGCCCCTATTTTATTATATCGACATTCCGGCAGCACCATCGGCTGAGTTCTTCGAGGAGGGCGGAAGAACAATCTTAGCAAAGTGCTGATGCTTGGCCACAACTGCGGAAAGAAAAGTGAGCGAGGCCGCAAAGGCAACTATTCCCCCGAGTTCACGGAGATCAGGGAACTCACTCTATCTGCTAGAATATCCGAAGTGGTTAACCCCCCCATGGTCTCTAATCCGGTACCTCTGCGTTGTCGAGTAAGATGATTAGGAAGAGAAGCCGTAGGCCATGAATGGACGTATCATTCGTCATTAAACTATTGATTCTTCTGTAGGTCTTTCGCCACTGCCGTCTATGGAATCAATAGGCATTTCGGTCTTCCAGAAAGACCCGAATACACCTCCTAGAACCATCGCGATACCACAGTATAATTGCAAATCAGTCAGTATAAGACTTCGACGGCCAGATTCCAGGGACCTTGGCGTCTTACCTCAAAGCTCAATGCGCGAGGCGACGAGAGTAGGGGAATCGTCGAGGCTGACAGGAAACCCAAACTCTGGGCGTAATTCTTCGCAATGGTGCTCGATACACGGACCGCCCAGGAGACAAGAAACCCTCCCATGGCTTGCAACAGAACAAAGTCCCACACCAGCATTGTGTAACCACGGAAGAATCCCTTTGTGCTAAAGTCTGACTGCCACAAGAACCCGCCAAGTGCACACAAACAACCATATGCCGCCAGCTGAGCATTGCGAACCATGAAACTACGTTCTGAGGACTTTAGAACGGCCTCCATATAGACATCAGCGAAAGCGCTACAGCAACCAGCCACTAGCATGGTGACAATTCCGAAGGCTCTATCTTTGCCCGCGTCGCCGGCGGCGACGTCGCTGAATGACGATGGCAGAGACCCGACCTGTACCAGTACTATCCCCGCATCAGGTACGGCAGAATGCTGAGATGGTAAGCTTCAAAGCTCTGGCTGGTCGCCGAGAGCGTGTACAGGAAAGCTGGTATGGCAGCGTTGTCATGACCGCTCCGCACGTAATCTAAAAACCCGGAAGTAGTTGCCGCGCGGTCTTCAGTGTTGTTGTTGAAAGCCCAAGCAGCACCACCGAGGGAGATGAGCAGCTTCAAGGCCTCGGATAGAACGACAGCACTAAGAGGCTCGTACCGAACAGAATCGTCCTCGGGGCCGCTCTGCACCTTGTGCTGCAACTGATTGTTGATCCTCATTAGTCAGAGTATGGATGTTGAAGATCGTACTGCAGGTTAGGTGCAGGCGGAGGCTGTCTACTCACCAAAATGCTGGCCGCGTTTTGACAGACGAGCTTCGAACTTTCTGTCAGATCTCGTCGTCCCCAATAGGAGTGGAGGCATACAAACTTACCATCGCAAGAATGATTGCAGCCGTGATTCGGGCGCATCGGCGGCGCGCAAAGTTGCTTTGTACCATGGAGATGTCCGTTTCTTGAATCCTTCTCCCGTTCATTGGTCTTGGGCTCTTCCCATCGTGTCTAAACTTTGCGGTCATTCTGCTCATCCTTCGTTTGGATATTGTCGGCTTTTTTCTTACCGCGTCCATCGCGCCGGAATCACTATCCGACAGCTGCGGTAGCTAAGGGACCTAGCGGGGGCCAAATCTTTCGTGGCATTGACTCGCTGATCACTAATTCATATCGACTCACTCTCCACTTCATAACTTTAAGCCGGGGGGACCCATCCCACTCCAAAATGGCGATGGTCAAGCCACCCAAGAAGAGAGAGCGTATAGTCAGGCACTATCGTGTGCTATGGAGTTGAGAGCGCAGTAAAGCACTCTTCTAACGCTGATATTGACAATCGACACAAGAAGCTACGGATACAACATTGGCCCAAATACCTTCTTGGCCCTTTGGAAAGCTGGATCACTGTTCTGAAAGACACGATTCTTGCACGAACCACAATGACACAAAGCACTGGGGGCAGCCGTCGTGACAGCTCGGCCTCGGTCCCAGGCACTCCGCGTCGACATTAGATTTGCGCTAACAACCACCCTTGTCGCGCCCCAAGAACCCCCAAGAGGCTAAGACTGTCATTGATCCCTAAATAGGTGTGCGTCCCACCCGTCTGACATTTAGGCACTTGGATACGAGGTCTTTTGCGCCAGGAAGCCCTGCCTCAACCATAGTTCTTTACGGTGAAGATTCCATTTTCCGAGGCCGACGGGAAATGGTTCTTCATGCTGTTAGCCTTCTTTCGTGACGAGGGGCACCGTGCAGGCTGCACCATACTCAAATAAGGAGGCCAGGCTTCTTAGCTTCCAAGGCCATGGAACGGTTCCTTCGGCTCATGTTAAGGTTTTCGTAACTTTCCCCTTGATTCAACGAGGCCCTTCTTTGTACATATCGTCTCAACTCGTAAGATTCTTCATGGGCGTAGGCAACTGGTAACTGGATCCCTACCTGTCTCTTAACCCTTTCGTGGTACCAGCTCGCCGCAATAGGTTGTCAACTCAACCTACCTGTTGTTGTCGACCATGTTCATATCAACGAAGCGCGCCGTCGCGCTGACTTGCGGGACCTTCGTCTTTGTTCTTTTGACGGGCTACCAGTCGATAAAGTACAATTTCATCCCTAACCGTCTACAACATGTCTTGAAGAACGGCACATTCGAGACGCCAGGTTCGCTTGCAGAACTCAAACCCTTCTGGACCACTGAGCAACTAGAACCCCGATTTGCCTATGTTCAATATGCGACGGACATCAACTACTTGTGCAATGCAGTATGTCTACGCTGTTTCTTACAAGGAGGTGTTGCGATACGCAGGAGATTCTTTGCTAATGCGCAGACGTTAGGTGATCAACTTCAATCGCCTGCACCGCTTCGGCGCGAAACACGACCAGGTCCTGATCTTTCCCAAAACTTGGGCCGAAGGAGACTCGAAAGAGGCCAAAGCTATCAGAACTATCCAAAAGGCTCTACCAGATCTCGTCCTACGGCCCTTTGGTCTTTTCACCACACATAAAGGGGAGGCAACATGGTCCAAGAGTCTGACCAAGTTCCACGCCTTCGACCTTACAGATTACACCCGAGTGTTGGCCTTCGATTCCGACTCGCAGATCTTGAACAACATGGATCACTACTTCCTAGCCCCGATGGCAGCCGTTGCGGTCCCGCGCGCATACTGGCTGAACGAGAAGGATACGCCCGTCGTTAAGCAAGTCCTTGGCTCCCATGTCATGCTCATCGAGCCCAACAAGTCGCGGTACGACAAGATTGTGCGCGAGGCGCTCAAATCTGGGGACTTTGACATGGAGGTCATGAATCACATGTTCAAGGACTCGGCCATGATTCTCCCGCATCGTCGACTTGCACTTTTGACCGGCGAATTTCGGGCCAAGGAGCACCAGAAATACCTCGCACCCGACGAGGACGAGGAGTGGAACGCCATGGCCGAAGTATCAAGAGCGTATCTGGTTCACTTCAGCGATTGGCCACTGCCAAAGCCATGGCTTTCACGTTCGGATGCTCAATGGAAAGCTGCCTTGCCGGAGTGCCCCGAAAACGAAGAGGACAAGCCTGATCGACCCAGATGCGCCGACCGGGTGATGTGGGAGGGCTTTTATGAAGAATACGAAAGCGACAAGAAGAGATACTGCAAATCTTGGTTATGATTGCGGGACGCATACCAGTACAGGATATCCTACTCCAAAATTCTGCTCCTCAGCACCAGGGGGAAGCGTACAGCAGCGCCTCCAAAGTCAGCACGCCGAGACACAAATGATCTCACATCGTTTCAAAAGATATTGACGACGACGGCACCCCTCAGAGAGGTTCTCTCAGAGCGCTCTCGGTCACTGCGTACAATTTACTCCTGAAGCGTTACTATCGGGTGGCATCCGTTCCATCCGACTTATCCGGCGCTCGCAGCACATAAGCGGCTTAGGCATGCCGAGCTCCACATTCACTTATCACCAAGGGCTCCACGATGAGTGTAGGGGCAGTCTTCGATGCGGTGTCGACCGGCTACTACAGTGCTTGGGCCTGAAGGACGGGGAGTGCGTAATACAGGCCCAGCGGCTTACCAGAATGGCAGACGCTGCGAGGACTACGTTGATGCTAGACGTTCTATTCAACTTTGCACATGTTGCTGGTAGCATGACCATGGAGCCCTCCTTTGGCGGCTGTCGAGATGTTTGACAATGAGCGACGATTATTCGATGTTACGAGAGTCCTTGGTGCAGGAGATGCGCTAAGGTGACTTTCCAAGTCCCGGGGAAGTGCTCGTCTGCTTTCAGCCTTAGATAACCATTGTGGCAATGGTGGTCTCGGCAGGAAGGTACACATGTCGGATAGACTGTAGAGGTGCATGGCCAACTGGCCTACCAAGCTATCACATAACTTAGTACCATTCACATGACTCTGTATTCATCGTCCGAGGCGTGGTGCAATACTTTGATATCATGTGCGATTTTCGTCTAAATCCAATCTCAACTTTGTTTTCGGCGATACTTGGAGCTAGTATGTGAATGTTCTTGAGGGTGCGACTTGCTTCAGGAACTGCGCTATGTCGCCCTTCTGGTCCACTGTGACTTGATTTCTTGCCATCATCCTATACACTATTGCCTTCCCAATTATATGCCCCGATAAGGAGGCTGATTCGACTTAAGCCTCTAGTTACTTATATATAACTCTCTCGCAGCGGCCCCGCAAGTGCAATCAAGTCAATTTTGACCCCCATACTTGCTGTTGATGAGATTTTTCTTGGTGTTTTTGATTAGTTGACTAACTTGCAAGTTATTCAATCAATCGCCATATAAAAACACGTGATCTACAATTACCTAAGCGGGAGATATATGAAGCTATTCACGATAGGCCCAGTAGTCCAAAGCCGTTGTTCTGCAGCATAACCCCCCTCTTGAGCCAGTTTTTCGACAGCTGGAGAATTTCTATAGTCTCTGGCTTCATACTCATCCGTTGCGACGCGAGGGTTAACTTAGCAGTACTGAAAGCCCTCTCGCAGTCGGCCGCCATCGCTGGGACGGCGAGGATGTCGATCGCGAGCCGAGAGAGGGTCGGGAAGGTATCCGAATGGTCCAGCCACCACCGTAAGGGCTCAGAGGTCTCCTCCGGAGGTTGACGGAGGTAGAGATCGAGCTCATCCATCCGGGGTGGGGTCTGCCGGCGCCGGCTATTAACCCACTGCCGGAAGTGACTGTCGTCATCATCTCGAGCCCCGGGGTCAACGGCAAGGCCTCCGCACTGCCCTCTGTGGCCGGAGATACTCTCTTCCGGGCCGTTCTGCCGATACCACTTATCATAGTACTCTGTGAGGGATTTCTGAGCCTTGTCGACCCATCCCTCTTGGTGGTCATCACTCCATACATCTCGTAAGTATGAGATCCCATATGACGGATGGAGAATGATCGCACCAGAGAACAGTGGTGACTCCCCTAACTTGTCATAGTAGTAGAAGAGCTTTTGCCACGACTGCTCAATACTACTACGGAGGAAGGATTGCCACTTCTCGTCGAGAGAGTCGAATCGTGAGGCGGCTCGTGAGGCTGGAGATGCCCAGTCTTCACGCACGTGATCTGGGAGGGCCTGGTGGTTATACCGACGACGACGGGGCCTTCCGGATCGGGTTTGAGATGGCTGCGAGTCCTCAAAAGGATCGTCAACTAGAGGAGAAATCGTGGAGTTGTAGTAGGTCTTCCAGTCGACGAGATGCAAAAGGAGGTACTCTAAACCCATAGTGACCTCCCACAGTCGACCATGCCCATCCTTAACCCCCCAGCCCTCACACCTCTTCGTCTGGCGATAAAAAGGCTCCAGGATCATTTCCATCTCGGCAAGAACCTTCCAGTCGTCGGAAGACAGTAGATCCGCTTCCGGTATATGCTGTTTGACGTCGTCGTCGTCGTTATTCGATAGTATAAAAGCCTGGATCTCATTCTTCTTCTTGATGGCTCTCTCGATCATTAGATACGTACTGTTCCAGCGAGTGTCGTTATTAGTCGCGTTGTCGGAAATGTTACTCCGATCCGGTTCCGGATCTTATATCGACTGACGACGTTAAGGAGGGTCTCCGAGAGGGTAATACCGCTATGATCTCCATGGTGTTGAGAGAAGCCTAGGAGGCGTGACCGTAACGTGCCGTTGGCATCGATGAAGTGACACGTGACGCCCATAAAGGCGTAAATATTGGGCGACGACCATAGATCGAATGACAGGTGTATTTTCGATACCGCTAGGTGGAGCTCCGTCGTCACGAGACCCTCTCCGCGCCGGCAGAAGTCTTGGTGACGGTCCCGAATAGACGTATAACCCCATGGGACCTCGTTGGCGACCTCGTTACTATGGTACCGTAAGATCTGTTGGAGGAAGTTGTTCTCAAAGTGGGTAAAAGGGAGGTCGGCGGAGACAATGGAGGCAACGCAGAGATCCCTTAGAGTCGTGATCTTAGCCTTGGGAATATTACTGTTGTTGAGGCGCACCCTCTTATATGGAGGAGGGGTCGATGGGTCTGATGAGGAGGGTTGGGTGTCAGCGTCAGAATCCTCATCTGAGAGGGTTGAGATCTTGCAGATGCGATGGGCACTTCAGCCTCGTTAGAGTAGACTTTATATGAGCAGGAAGCTTAGGATAACATACCGAACTAAGTGCTCTTGCGCAGCAGTAGTGGCAGCAGCGCCAAATACCCTAGGGGACCCCTTTAAGTCGCATCGTCGGCAACTCCAAAAGGAGGGCCCAGCCTGGCCCTGAATAACCTCAACAAGGAAGTCGCCATGATCTCGAATCCAGCTGGATCGACCCCGGCCTTTCAGCCGAGCTCATTGCTGCTCGAGGATGTACCTCTTACTGCCCACGACGATGTGATATAGGTCGTTAATCGTGGGATTCGGAGGGATACGGACAGTGAGGGCCATCTCGATCTGCGTAGAGATCCGCAGGCGCGGGGCGCCTAGGACCGCATACGCGTTGGCGGAGGAGGAGGAGGCAACAGCAACAGTAGACATCGTGAAGCTCAGTAAGGTAATAGGGGTAAATGATGAGGGTGATGTGTGATAATACAAATCTTTTCCAAATAACGTCCGATCATAACGTTAAATAAACCGTTCGAATCACTATGATCTAATCTACCTGTCATAAACCTTTCAGGAAGATCCGCCTTCGTCTGGTATGGTGAGGGTAGTCTGAATAACCTCCATAACATATGTGATGGCGAGGTTGGCAATATTGGCATGTTTCAGTGGCTGGGCATGCCCAAATAAATGGGGCAGGGGCTGATCTACAGCCTCCTATTGGCCAGTATATAAGACATCAAGTTATTCAACAATTCTATGGGGTGTCGACTTACTCGATTGGGAAGTGGTGATGGCATCCCTTTGCTTGTTGGACTCGAATACTCTGTTGGTTAACTTGCACTTGCGGGGGCGCTGCTCTCTCGGCTGTGTTTAGCTATCGAGACCGGTTGTAGTCGGGCTCATACAGAAAATCCTAGTGCCAGAGACGCAGAAGTCCGTATGGTCTACAAGAAATTCTGGTTGAGCACTTCTCCTTCTCTGGCGAACTGAAGTGTTGCTTCTTTTGACACTGTCCAGGACTGCTTGGATTTGAGCCAGCTTCTGATAGTGGCATTTTCAGAACTGACGGGAAAAGGCTGGACGTAGTGATGGAGCGTTTGTAGCTGTGAGGCCAACATCTACCAAGATCGTGAGTAGCCCAACGATTGACTACCAGTGTCGAGCGCTCCGAACCCAACGTGATAGTAAACTATCTGTAGTCTGTAGACAATCAGATTACCAGAGGATTTCCCTTTCCATCTGAACGTACGGCGAGGTCGACTTGACCCGCGCGTATCCAGTAAAGCTAGGCTCTCAGGCTTACGACGTAGTATCTAACACCACAAAGGAGAATAGGTAGGCGATGAAGGGCTAAACGAGTGGCCCAGTAAGACTATACTATGAGCACTTACCAGTCAATGGCTTCCTCTTCCTAATGTTCCCACTAGAGTAATCGCTGTCTTTTGGGCCCGATGGTCCAAGCATCCGAGATTTGGCGGTGAATCGTAGGCTGTACTTTGCGGATTTGATGCCAGCATTTGAACTTTGAATAACCTCAACGTGACACTAAGAGTATACATGTATTAGCATTGAGGTGTTGTCAGGGATCGAAAGAGACCCCAATTCAATAGAATTTGCCGCAACGGCGCAAGTAAGAATGTATGGCTGCCCGTGAGGACAGCAATTTCAAACGTCTGAACACTCCTAAAGATTTAGGAAACTCTCGAGCGGATTAGTTTCAAGAGCTCCATTAGCTTCCCCGAAGCCAGAGTGTTGTGTTTAGCACTGGTGACTTGAGACCTCGATCGGTTTACTAGAGTTTTGATAACACAAGCAATGTTCCAAAGCCACTTTAACTCGCCACGTGAATTTGCGAATCATCAGCCTTGAGGACCAAAGTTGCGAGAGCCGCTTGATCGCCGGAAAACAATACTGGAAGGTATAACGTGCGTTTATAAGCCAGCGGTTTATTGTCAATAAGAATATCGATATAGTGAGGAAATAGAACGACTCCTGAGCTCTCTTCGGTAACAGGCCTAGAGGGTAATCCAACAGGAGATCGCGTATATGAATTGCGACTCAGCTTTTCTCTACGGAGTACTTCCCTT